GTGAGTGAGATACTGGTCTCATACAACTGTTTTTGCTTCTCGAAGTTTTCAAAACATGATAGACTGATCGATTCGGGAACAATGCGGGGATCAAAGCTGCTTAGTGTTCTGGTAGGCAGAGCTGGAGAAGTACAATGAAAAGGTCTAGACCCCTTTTCTTAGCCAGGCCGGAACCGTGTAGGTCCAATTATATGACTTATGGTCCCACGTGTATGGGGGGCCAAGGGTGAAAGAAGAGATTTATGTCACCCATGACTTCAGTCCATCGTCAACTCCTCCAGGAGTCGAGGCCCCGGGTGAGCCACGCCATCCACAATAAGGTACAGGTACATTATCCAAGACGGCCCCTCTTAAAGTTGTACACAATAATACACGGTACTCCAACACAGTATAAGCATCATGCCCGGTACTCAACAGCATAATGGTAGGTTTCCAGTCAAGAACACAGTACGATGGAATCTTGGCACCCGAACCAGACTTGTCGTTCTCGATGAGCCGGTTGCAATTACGGCAACATCCTTGAGAATGTAACCCCTAATGTGGCACATATTTATAGCAGTATACTCTCGAGTGCTCTTTGATTGGCCAAGCTTGGACGACGGCGGGCTACAGCGAATCGGGTGTTTCCGCGCAGGGATCCTGCGAACCACACCACCATGGAGGAGCAGTCGGTTGTGTAGAATCTTCGGGATGGCTCTACTACGTAAGGCGATTCGGGTCTTAGTTGTAACCTTTGTTGCCATCTTGCCTATATGATCTGTGATTTGGACCTCCCAAGCCCAACTACCCCCAAGGCAAGGAGTCAGATGGGAAACCGAGAGCGGATGACCAAGTGCACGTAGTTTCAAGTCTCCAAACATCGGCCAGCGGAGGCCGTACCGGGACAATAAGGGGTATCCCTACCGGAAGATGGCAGACATCCCTGATTTTGTTATGTAATAAAAAGTCGGTGCCCTGATGAGTCTCCTCACACACACAAGGCACGATGGAGCGGTTTCGGCCCAAGTGGGTGTTTTTTGATGGATACGTGGATACGAGCAATCATTCTTCCGTTGCGCAAATGCCTTTTTTTCATGGTTCTCAGGTGCCGGAGGGTCCGGGAGTGAGGCAAATCTGCCGAAGTTCGCGAACCACCGGCCCGGCTCACTTATAAGAAAAGCGACCTCCCCCATACTTTTCCCCGCGATCCACTTCTGCCTCCCAAGAGCTCGACAGAATTCTGTGATATTGTTCCCGCCACCCTTTTCTCTCGTCTCCCTCGTTTCTCACCTTTTCCCTCAAGTACGGCTTCCTACCGCTCTGCAGACGAGCAACAGGAGAAAGACATTCAAAGCCCTTCTGACCATCGATGCAATGGTCGGATCCTCACAGGCTTCTCCCGATGATGACCCCGGCCCCGAGCTGGACCCCGGCGGCGTTGGTGCAGCCACAGCGGCAGCCACACCGGCCGAGGCCGCACCATCTGAGTCGACATCTGAGCCAACTTCTAGTTCCGACACGCCCTGGTCGAGCACCGAGGCCGCAGCTGCAGCCGCCTTGAAGAAAGAAAAAGGCCGCGTTCGGTTCAACAGCAGCGCGGCCGCTGTCAGGCACTCAACACCATCACCACCCCCAGACCCAAACACCCCCAAGCTTGCACCGACGTCGCCTGCCAGGCCGTCTATCCTGCGCGGTAGCTCAGGCAGCTCTATCCCGACCGTGGCCGCTTTGGCCAAAGACGAGCCTCGCTCCTCGCAGGATACCGAGCGCCAAGAGGCCAAGTCCGCCGCCGCCGCCGCTCAAGAACGCGCGCGTCAGATGGCTGCCAATGTCCGGCTAGGCTCGCCGGCCCGCGAGAACAGAGACTCCGTCGACTCCGCCGTCACAACGGCGACCAGCGAGCCCGAGAACGGGTCCAGGGATAGCGCAGGGGAGGACATCGCACTCAAGGACCTCCAACCCCGTCAGCCTCTCATCGGCGACAAGGCCGCCGCCGAGGAACTCAAGCTGCACGAGCACCAGGCCGCCCTCAACGACGAGGCGTACAAGATCGTGAGAGCCCACACCTGGCGCCTCGCCGAGAAGTCGGACGGCGGTGAGCCCGGGCCGTCCAACGCCCAGGATGCCGAGACGACAAAGGCCACCGACCAGCTCCTTCGGGAGGTCAACGATGGCCAGTACGACGGGGTGTACTCGGTCCCGGCGCCCAAGCAGTATCGCGGCAGCGTCCTTTCGCAGCTCTTGAAGCTTTACAAGCCCGCCGAATCGGGCGGCCAGTACGGGCAGGCCAGCGGCCAGGGCCGCCGCAACTCCTTTTCCTTCGGCGGGACGCTCTCGGGCACCAGCACCCCCGGCTCCAACTCGGGCACCGCGACCCCGACGACGCCCAGGAGGAAGTGGTACGAGGCGAACCGCTCGCAGGAGACGCTGGTCAACCTCATCGAGGCCTCCGCCCGCCTCGCGAACCCCAACACCCAGAGGCGCGCCGAGTCGCCCGACGCCAGGGGCTCCAAGGACGGCAAGGCGGCCGGCAAGAAGACGCGGCCCAAGAACAAGCGGCCCCAGAGCAACTCGCGCCTCAGCGCCTACCTGCAGAGGCAGCAGGAGGAGGAGGAGGCCAAGATCACCATCCACATCGCCGAGACCCTGTCGCGACAGGAGTACATCATCACCCTCTGCAGGGCGCTGATGCTCTTCGGCGCCCCCACCCACCGGCTCGAGGAGTACCTCAGCACGACCGCCAAGGTGCTCGAGATCGACGGCCACTTCCTGTACCTGCCCGGGTGCATGATCGTCTCGTTCGACGACCGGTCGACCCACACGACCGAGGTGCGCATCGTCCGCGTCGCCCAGGGCATCGACCTCGGCAAGCTCAGGGACACGCACGCCGTCTACAAGGAGGTGATCCACGACGTCGTGTCCGTCGACGAGGGCATCGAGCGCCTCGACACCCTCATCAAGGCCAAGGACAAGTTCCACGCCTGGGTCCGCGTCCTCGTCTTCGGCCTGACGAGCGCCACCGCCGCCCCGTTCTCCTTCGGCGCCCGCCTCATCGACCTCCCGCTCTGCTTCTTCTTGGGCTGCCTCGTCGGCTTCCTCCAGCTCATCGTGGCCGCCAACTCGTCCCTGTACAGGAACGTGCTCGAGGTCACCGCCACCGTCCTGGTAAGTTTCCTCGCCCGCGCCTTCGGGAGTATCATGGGCGGCAACCTCTTCTGTTTCTCGGCCATGGCCCAGGGGGGCATCGTCATGCTTCTGCCCGGATACCTAGTCTGTAAGTGATCTCTAGCCCTCCCCCTCCCCACCCCCCTTTTCTCCTAAATCGTGCTCGATCCAGAGTTGTACCTCCTCTTTATCTGCGCTGCCGCGGGCGCACGTAGTGGAGTTGCTACTGGCCTGCGGGCACACCAGAAAAAGAAAAAGAGAAAAAAAAAAAAAGGACAGACCGCTGATGGCTCAGTGTGTTCCGCTCTCGAGCTCCAGTCCCGCGCCATCGTCCCCGGCTCGATCCGCATCGTCTACGCCATCATCTACTCCCTGTTCCTCGGCTTCGGCATCACGATTGGCGCCTCCATCTACGGCATGATCGACAAGAACGCCGTCTCGACGACCAGCTGCGCGGACCCGATCCCCAGCTACTACACCTTCATCTTCGTCCCCCTCTTCGTCCTCTGCATCAGCATCCTGTACCAGGCGAAATGGCGCCAGATGCCCGTCATGCTCCTCGTCGCGTTTGCCGGCTACGTCGTCAACTACTTCAGCAGCATCCGTTTCAGCGCCGCCCCGCAGGTCGCCAACACCCTCGGCGCCCTCACCGTCGGCGTTCTGGCGAACCTCTATTCTCGTCTGAGGCACGGCGTCGCCGCCGCCACCCTGATCCCGGCCATCTTCACGCAGGTGCCCGGAGGCCTGGCGTCCACCGGGGGACTGCTCAGCGGGCTGAGGACGGCCAACGCGCTCACGAACTCGACCCACGCCGTCAACGGCACTAGTTCCGTTCAGTACTCCGAAGGCGAGTCCCTGAACACGGTCGTCTTCAATGTCGCCGCCTCCATGATCCAGATCGCCATCGGCATTGCCGTTGGCCTCTTCATCAGCGCCCTGATCATCTACCCGCTCGGCAAGCGTCGCAGCGGCCTCTTCAGCTTCTAAGCGTATGCCATTTCCTCCTCGTAGACCATTTCTTTTCTTCTTTGGCTTTTGTTTTCTTCATCGCGTCATTTCTAGCGTCGCTTTCTTCGCATTCACCAGACTACTACACGTCATGAGCCAGTAAATAGGAGGCCTAGAGTGAAGGCCTCAGCCTACTTTTAAAGGGTCTCGTTAGTACTCTTAGCCAGCTCTTAGAGCGAAACAACAGTAAAACGTATTTTACGTATTTAGTTTATGAAATTGGTTTGGGGGAAAAATTTTGAACAACTGCAAGGCATTAGGGAGAATATAAAAAATGGAATACAGTCATTATGAATCCAGAGCAATAAAAGTCTACTGTTAAAGCCCATCTACCTATACATTGACTGAAATAGGAGCCTAACAGGGCAGTCTTGGCTATACTGTCCAGTAACGGAGTAATATGATCGTCGTTGAGGTTGAGCAAGCTTGGTTGTCTTGTCATTCTCTCATGATGTGTAGCGGTGTCAGACAGGCAGATCGGAGATAGGTCAGAACATTCCCGACAATGGACGCGGGATCGGGCTATGGCATGACAGACAGCCTGCCAGCTTCAGCAATGGAAACGGAAAAGGAGGACAGGATAGGTGTGGCAGAACCATTCCAAGAGACTAGGAAGCAGCAGATCCTTGACGATTGGTTTATTAAGTAATATGGCCTTCAAAAAGTATGCAGCTCTAACAACCCAACACCGATAGCCTAACTCATACCTCAAGGTCACTAGGATGATGTACAGCCCCATCACCATCAAATCGCTTAGCAATTATTGGGAAAGAAATCATGTTTTCATGGTGAAATGTTACACCCAAGTCAGGAGTTATGCATGCCGTCACCGAGGTATTGGTTCATAATCATTTCAGTGATACCCGCTCATGTACCTGCAATGAGCCTCTATCGTAATTTGCGCCGTTTGTTCCTCGCAAGTCGCCCTTTTCACGCCCAGTCATCCCCATATCATGCGGCTTTGAACCCGCAGCCTGTTTTCCCACTTGCATTCGCAACAGCGACTGCCGAGCACGCGCCCTTGGGCCCAGCGCAGCATCCCGAGGCGCAATCCGCATCCGAGAGGCACTGGCCGGTGATGAACTGCTGTCCGTTGCCCTTTCCCACGTTCTGGGAGCCTGCGGCATTTTGGTTGGCGCCGGACGAGCCTCCGCCAGCAGACGGTGCGGTCTGAGGAGGAGGCGCGGCGGGCGCCGCCGCCGCATTTCCGGCCGTCGCACCACCATCACCACCACCACCACCCGTGGACCCCGCCGCGCTTCCTGCGCCGGTGAACCCGCAGCCCGACTTTCCGTTCTCCTCGGCAACGGCCCTGGCGGCGCAGGCCCCCTTGGGACCGGCGCAGCATCCCGAAGCGCAGTCGGCGTCTGACAAGCACTGTCCCGTGATGAACTGCTGGCCGTTACCCGCGCCAACGTTGGACGACCCGGAAGCGCCCGAGCCCGCGGGTGATCCGTTGCCTGCCGCAGACTCCGTTGACGGCGACGCCTGGACGGCTACCTGTGGAAAGGCGGGAGCCGCAGCCGCGCCGCCGCCGCCGAAGCCGCACCCTTGCTTGCCCGCTTGAAACTGGGCCCCGACTCCGGAGCAGATGCCCGCGCCGTTCAGGATTGCGCAGCAGGCCGAGGCGCAGTCTCTGCTGTTGAGGCAGGCACCGCCGATGAACTGAGCACCCCGGCCGTTGCCGATGTTCTTGGCGCCCGCAGGATCCGGAGTGAGGGGGCTTGGGACCGCGAGAGCTGTGGCAGCGACTGGGAACCGTTAGTGATGATGGCAGGTGACCAAGCTTGATGGCCAATACTCACACAGTGCCGCGGCAAATGAGAAGCGAACCATTTTGACAAGTGTCGAAAGAAGAAGAGAGGAAGAAGGAAAAAAGAAGAGTATTATCAAAAATGGTTCAATAAGTTATTACCACGAAGAAGGAAGATACTAGGCGGAATGATAATGATGATGCTTTTGGGTTAGCTTCACGCTTAATCTCGCGGAGACATGTCGTCCTAAATACTGAGATCTCACTCCTTCTCAGGAAGCACCGGCATCTGATCCGAACACTGCTGTAAGTCTGCCACCATCATCCGCGCTTGCTGGAACTCCCCGTCTATCAACCAAGTATAGCTGAAAATGCGATGCATTTCTGTCACAGGGGCACGTTTCCGCGACGGAGGCTGAGCGGTGATACATCAGGTCGAGGGCTGGTGACCGTTTGGGAAACGATTAAGAAAAAAAAATAGCCGGACCCGCCACTTGGCTACCCTGTCCGTCGAAACTTGAAGAAGACCAGATGACGGCGAGCATGGTATGGGAATCGACCAGTGAGGTTGTCGAGGCTGCTGTGATAGGCTGGGCCTCGAGCAGGGCCGACCCTGTTATGCTAATGTTTCGGATGGACAAAACATCGGAGAACAGCAAACGGGTCCGAACGCGATCAAGCCCCTGGGCTAAGGGGGGGGGATCCTCTGATATAAGCCGAGTACACATATGCCTCTGCCGAATACACTACTTGTCGCATAGGTATCCCATGTGGAGTGGGCTCTGCCGTAAACACGTCGAGCACACGCCTTGCATGCGATCTTCCGACGATCCAAGTTTCCCCATCTTCACAGAATCTCAGAGATGGGAACAAGCGCTGGTTGCTCATTCGCCAGTTGTCTTGTTTCGGCCGAGACAAGCATTGCGAAACAGCGCAAACGGTCAGCTCGGTAGGGCCTCTCCGATGTTAGCTTGTTTTGTGCTGGAGCGTCGTCCCTTATTCGCGAGGTCCAAAATGGCTCCAGTCTTGACCGAGGAGAGGCAGCCCATCTTTTCAGGGGAACATGTGAGAGAACGGGTCGTCTAAGGATATGATGCGGATGGGTGTTTGGCCCGCCTCGCGGCATTGATTTGGAAGGCGGGCTCTCAACTCCCAAATAGAGGTAGATCCCTTGCCGGACCAAGCCTTGCTTGCAGGTATCGAAACCCCAAAGACGCGGCCATTCGCCACCTTGACGTGATCCTTGAAAGGAGTCATTACCTCATGCCGCGTGACAAATGGAGAGGATCGGTCGGGGCGACCATCAAGCCGAATGCCTTGCTTGTATTCTGCTCGAGCTCAACATGCAATGAATGAGAATGAAACTGGCAGTCGGGGAGTTGCCCCAAAGATGCGCCGATGCATGTCGTTGGACGTCAAAGATGAACAGAATTTGTGAAGATGCGGGAAGTGAAGAATTGACTTTCCTCGTAGCACAGGGGCTCCCTTCCTTCTCACTGCTGCCCTTCAGGGGATGAGGGGCCTGGTAACGGCTTATCTAAGCCATTTATCTTGTTATATCTTTATCCGGTTTGCCATCGATCGGAACCAAGACACGACATCCCCCTCCCTCCCCCTCCTCCACGCAAGCCACTTCCTGTCGTACTATTCCTCTTCTGCTGGACGGCCACGCATGCCGTCGTCCAAATAAAACCTCGGCAAAAGGCCTTCACCGTCTCGAAAGCGATGCATGTTCCCCGGCACACATCTCGAAGCACCAGCAAGCTGAAAGCCGCAGTGCCGCGGCCACTGCCGCTGTCGCATGGGGAACACGCTTTAATCTGACTTGTGATCCGACGGTCGATGATGTCCATGATCCTCGATCGAACATGGAAGGGATTTGCTGGAGGCACTGAAGCCATACCCCGCGCGATTCTTGCTCACGCCAAGCCGCCACACTTCTCGAGGGGGGGGGTGGACAAGGTTTCAATATCCGTACTCTGCACGACTAACGCTAGTTGGTGTGAACTCGGCCTTCAGGTATCTTCTCCGTCGACTACATCCACCGGGGTCTTGGCCGTGTGAAAACACTTGCGCCTGCCCAGCTGTCAAGCAAAGGAGGACACTCGCAATTCCGCCTTCATTTGAACTTGCCCGGGTCCATTGCTCGCATCCCGTGAGACTCGCCCTCGACGTCCGCAGTTCCTGATAAAGCCCACCCTAGACCGTGGTGCGGCAGTTGGCCGGCACATGCTTTTGCACGCAATGGTCCCGGGCCATGACTGTGCCAGCACCCAATAGTTGACAGTGTTGCTTGCCGTAGCTCCCTACCTAGCTCATGGCATACAGCCAACAGTCCAGCGCGTAACCAACAGCACCTGCAGGATATGCCGATCTCCCTCCGGCCACTAGCTCTGCGATTCGGTGATGCCTCTCCCTCAATGCCCGAAGCATTCGTAAAATAGTCGACTGGTGTGCGGCCAACATCCAAGACATGCCGATGGCGCAAGGGGGGGGGGGCTTCCTCGAAGGTACCGAAGCAGGGACCATCAGCATGTCTCCCTTCCTTCAAAAGGACCCCCCCGCTTGCTCATCGTTGGCAATGGCTATCTCTACGTCCGGCAGACCACACCTCGCCTCCTACTGCGGTGCTTTGATCTTCGCCTTTTGACCAAACCTACGCAGAGGAGGTTTTGCGTTCGTATATTGAACTTCATCGCAAATGTCTGCCCCAACGCAGGATGTCGTAGTGGAGCCCGACGAGTTCGATGACAACGACTCGTCGCTCGGGGACGTGGGACACCTCCAGCGCGAGCATTCTCCTACCCAAAGGTACAAACCTACTGACGAATGTGACAGGTTGGTGCGCCCTCGACCTTCAGCTTGAACAGCTCAATCTTAGACTATCGCAAAGAGAACGGTCGCACCTACCATAAATACCGTGATGGGAGTACGTCGTTTGGCATTGGTAGACTACTTGGGCGAATGGTTCACTGACGCCAGGAAGAGTATCATTTTCCCAACGACGAAGAGGAGAACGAGAGACTAGGTACGTCCTTCTTGCCAGGTCACAGACTGCTTGGGCTTTGCAAAGGGCCTGGCCTGACCTGGCTAACGGGTTTCCAAAAAGATCTGCAGCACCACATCTTCGATCTTTCCCTTGACGGCAAGCTGGGGTTGTCTCCGCCCAACGCTCCCGAGGCCCGGGTCGGCCGCGTACTGGACCTCGGTACGGGCACGGGGATCTGGGCCATGGACTACGGCGACGAGCATCCTGGCGCCGAGGTTAGTACCGCCGCCGCCGCAATAGCCGTGTGAGATGTTGGTGCGCTGACGCCCATATGCCCCTTCCCCCCCCCAACACAGGTCATTGGCGTCGATCTCTCACCCATCCAGCCAGAATTGTCAGTGATGCACATTAGCCACCGAGCTGGAATAAGTGACGGCATGGGCTGACAGAGGGGCAACGAAACGTGCATGCAGTGTCCCGCCCAACGTCAAATTCGAGGTCGACGACATCGAGGATAGCTGGACTTACACGCGGCCGTTCGACTACATACACAGCCGCATGATGAACAGCAGCATCTGCAAATGGGAGGAGTACCTGCGTCAATCATACAAGTAGCATCCCACCACACACATACCTAACCCCCCACCCTCCCCCAAAAGGGAATCGCACCTCACACCTTTCGCAGGCACCTCAACCCCGGCGGCTGGCTCGAGCTCCAGGAATTCAACCTCCCCGTCTCGGACGACGGCACCCTGACCTCGGACCACGCGCTCCACCGGTCGATGCGGCTGCTCGGCGAGGCGGCGGCCAAGACCGACCGCGCCTTCGTCGACCTCGACGCCCTCAAGCCCATGATGGAGGCGGCGGGCTTCGTCGACGCGGCCGAGATGCGCTTCAAGTGGCCCAGCAACACGTGGCCCCGCGACGGCCGGTACAAGGAGCTCGGGGCGTGGAACCACGAGAACATCACGAGGGGTCTCCAGGGGTTCCTCATGGCCGCCTTGACGCGCGGGCTGGGCTGGAACGCCGACGAGGTGAACGTGCTCGCGGCGCAGGCGAGGAAGGACGTCGGGGACCGGAGTATCCACGCCTACTGGCCCATGTAAGTCTCTTTCTGCTGCTGCTGATTCATTCATACAAGACAAGAAAAAAAAAAGAAGAAGAAAAAGGGGGAGGGGGGCCACCCTTTTCAGCCAGCCAGCCAGCTGACTCACTCGCACAGGATCGTCGTCTACGGAAGGAAACCGTTGGCCGCGTAGTGGTGCATCAATGGCGCCGTTGCCCGCGGGTATAACTCCCCTCGAGATCGGGACGAAGCCGAGACGGACGAAGGGGGAGAGGGGGGGGTGGGCCGGGTGAATTCTTTCGCAGCGGGGCGGACCTCCGCCCCTCCTACTCGGGAGTGGGGCGGGGCGGCGAATGTTTTGTTCGGTTTCGGTCCACATTATTCGGAGGGGGGAGCGGGGGGGAACAGACATTTGGAGGAAATTTTCTTGGAACAGGAAGCCATCGAGATTTCTCGGACACACCGAAACTGCCCAAACCCTACCTATACGCGCCCTGCCGCTCCACTCGCATATTCCACTCATAGGACCACAAACCGGTCATCAACTTCAACAATTACAAACACAATAACCCGCCTTGCTAGCTCAATCGGTAGAGCGTGAGACTCTTAATCTCAAGGTTGCGGGTTCGACCCCCGCGTGAGGCTCAAATCCTCACCGCGATTGGCACAGCCACTCTTCGGGTTACATTTTTGTTTTCTTTTCCCTTTTTATCAGTGTCATCTACGCTTGCTTCAGATCATGAGTTATACCGACGATTACCTTGCCGTCTTTCTTTTGCATGCCCGGTTTTAACCATGTCTAACGCTGTTGGACGTCTGCAGCAGACGCCATCGGAAACAACTTGGGCGCAGTGTCGAAAGACAGGTTGGGCCTAGCTTCACCTGACCCGTGTCTGCTGGATCAAACCAAACCCCTAACACTAATGGAAGATTTCACGAGCGAGGATCGAGGGCGACATCCCAAATATCCAATGAGAAACAAAGCGGGAAAAGGCGAAACAATCAAAGGTGGTATCATTTTGCGGTGCGCTATCCCAGTAGGTTGATGAAAGGCTCCGGCCACTTGCCCATCAGCAGCGGCCGGTCGCCGAGTCGGCCGCTCACCGGCGCCAGGATCCTCAGCTTGCGCTTCTCCTTGTCGACGTCGGCGATGTACACGTAGCCCATGACGGTGGCCGTCCTGATGGTCTCGGGCGGGTCTTTAACCGACGCGTAGACGATGGCGAGGGTCCAGTGCGCCATGAGCTGGCCCGCGTCGACCCGCATGAGGCCGTCGTCGCCGTTGCCGTACATAGAGTCTGGATGGGTGTCTTGGGATCAGTACGGGGGGTTCTGACGATTCGACGAGTCCGGCAGGGGGGGGGGGGGGGGGTATGGCTCACAATCGCCTATTCTGAATATCGCCAGGCTGTCGAAATCGACTTGCTGCGTGGCGGGGCTGAGGGTCTGGCCGATGCTGCCGAAGAAGTACTCCTTGATCGACGCCTCACAAGCTTGCTGTGTGAAGCCCACGTCGCGCTCGGCCACGCCGTCTGATTTGTCCAGGAGGAGGATACTGTACTGCTCCCCGAGGCTGGTCCTCTGTGTCGAGAACCGCTTCGTCAGCTCCGCGTGAAGATGTGACGAGCCCAGCACGATGATGATGTTGACTAATAATTGTCAGCAAGAGGCAACAAGATACTGGACGGAACGGGATTTTCAGAAAAAAGTGATAAAAAATTAAAAATTAAAAAAGACCAGCACGCAAAGGGAAAGCAAATACCTGAGAGCTCGTCCACAACGTGGGCAAGGATGTCGATGCCGACACTGCTCTTCTCGGACACGGCCGGGGTGTCGATGATGATGCCGGAGCTCTTGACCTCCGGGTCGTGGCCGAACCTCGAGGTGACGGCGGCGGCCATCTTGCTCACGAGCTCCTGGTACTTCCTCTGGTCCTCGTCGGCGGCGGCGTGGCCGTAGTAGTAGACGAGCGGCAGCTTGACGGGCACCTGGCTCGGCCCGCTCGTCGGGGTGGTGCCCCAGCCGTCGACGGCCTCGATGTCGAGCACGGTGGCGACGACGCTCGCGGTCAGGGTGCCGGGCAGGCTCAGCATGCCCTCCTTGGGGTCGGCGTTGACGACGAGCGGCTGGGCGCCGACGCGGGCCGCGTAGCTCGCCAGGGTGCGGGCGAGGCTCGTCTTGCCGGAGGCGGGCGGCCCGCAGACGGCGACGCGCGGGCCCTCCCTCCGCTCGGCGGCGGCGCGCTGGCGCATGGCGGTGAGCTGGAAGTGCAGGTTCAGGACCGAGTTGGCGGGCGAGTCCTGCGGGCGGGCGTACTCGGCCACCGACTCGGCCGCGAGGCCGCCCTCGACCTCGAGCTCGCAGCCCTGCAGGGTGAGGATCTTGGACCGGACGCCGGCCAGGGTGTAGGCGTGCTGCAGGGCGAGCTCGGTGCCGTCCTTCTCCGCCGTGCCAGAGAGGAGCTTCAGCTTAATGTGGGTGTCGAAGGCGACCTCGAAGCGCCACTCCCAGAAGGGCTGGAGGCGGATCGTGCGGGTCTGGTTCGCGGACGCTGGTTGCTGCGAACGGAGCGCTTCGTCAGTTCACACGTCTGCGGTCCTTGAGGTCGCGGGGGGAGGGCCTTTGGAGAACGTACTGGCGCCACAAGGTGGCCCAAACCCGGGATCGACATGTTGGGCTATCTGTTGATCATGGGGGGTTTATCGGTGCGATTGGGTTGCCGCCGATTCCATCAGAGTCTTGCGGGGGGCGGGGCGAGGGGGGGGGCGGATGTGAGGATCGGATAGATAAAATAAAATAAAACAAAAAGTCGACGCTGGAATCGGCGCGTGGAAATGCTCCGAGACGCGCCCGCTTAAGTGTTGGAGATGGAGCTTGACATCACAGGGTTTGGAATGGTCTGTGCAGGAGCTTTTCCACTGTCTGGCGGGGGGGCGGGTTAATTTGGCGGGGCTCGGGTCGAAGCGTGTCACTGTTGCAGGTAGGTATACATAGGAGGTGGTTCCTGCATACGAGGCTCTGCTCTGTTGCATCGATCAAAAAATCATGTGTTATTCAATCTTAGTAGAGTTTGGACGGCGTTGAATCGGAATTGTTTCCGGGATGGTCGGCCAATCCAATCCAATGAAAGAGTTCGAGAACATCGGGAGGTTCAACCTAAACAGCCTCTGCTCCTTTTGTTCCTGTACTAGCTTGTGTCACAATTGCCAGAGCTCTTGCTTACTGTCTTGTCCGTCTGTATCTCAACATGGAGGAGCCGGGTGGAGGAATAATAGCAATAGCAGTAGCAAAATTTGAAGAGAGAACAGGAGAACCAATGTTGTAACTCTCACTAACCAGTTATCTACAAAAAAGCAGAGTGAGTGCCCATTTATACCACTTACAAAACAGCAAGACGACGATAAGAAGCTCGCTTGACTCCAGAAGCAAAGTCCAGAACCAACCAGCTGCACGGTCCAAGGATCCACCCTCTACCGCCCCCAGGGACACAAACTTCTTACCCCGGCAAACCTCCACTTCGGCTGCATGTTCCTCCGCGCCGTCCAATCATCAATCGTTCGATGCCCCCACTCAAACCCACCATTACGCATTACGCAAGCTCCCCATTGTAGTCCCAGCTTCGCCACAGCTCGCTGCCTGCTGACCTCGAACTGGAGGCCGTTTGACCGGACCCCCCCCCCCCCCCCCCCCAACGTCACTTTTGCTATCGCCTCACTAAAACCCGTCTTCAAAAGGCGACATCCCACACACGTAGAACACGCATTTCAACACCCCCCTCTTCAAAATCTCTACGAGATATATACCACACAGTCATCGCAATGTGCTCCGCAGACATCTTCCTCGGCCTCCTGGCCCTTCTCTTCCCACCCCTCCCCGGTACGTTTGCTCGAACTCTGCCCCGCACCGCATCCCACTCCGGCGCGCGCGCCTGTCCGTTTGCCTGCGATGGCGTCCCGCCAAGAAAAGAGGAAGAAAAGATAAATATTTGCTAACACGAGAGAACAGTCTGGGTGAAGCGCGGCCTCTGCTCCGCAGACTCCTTCATCAACATCCTCCTCTGCCTCCTAGGCTACGTACGTTTCCCGAACCCCCTCCCGCCTTACTCCCTCCCTCTCTCTCTCTCTCTCTCGCCATCGCTAACACAGGACCCCACTCTCTGTAGATCCCCGGCCTCATCCACGCATGGTACATCATCGCCAAGTTCCCCGACCCTGACTACGAGTACGAATCCATCCCCCAGGACCGCGAGGGCGGCCGCGTCACCTACGTCTTCGTCCACGGCAACGGCAACGGCCACGGTCCCCACACCCAGCAGCCCCGCCAGCAGCCCCGTCCCTCGCAGCACAACGCCACGGCCAACGTCAGCTACGGTACTACGAACAACAACGGCGCTGCCGCCGGTGGCTCGAGCAGGCCCCAGCCCCAGCAGCACCAGAACCAGGGCGCTGGCGAGGGCAGCAGCGATGGCGCCGTGCCGCCCAGCTACGCCGAGGTCGTGGCCGGCGACAACAAGATCCAGACTCGGGACTAGAGGAGCCCGGAAGATGGGGACAGAGGGGTGATATCGAGCTTCTCCGAGCCGGGGTCTCGACGCCGTCCCAAGAGGCTCTCTTCCTCTCTCTCCCTCTTTTTCTCCGGCTGAGTCCGTCAAACATCTGGCCGTTGTTGTTGTATTTGTTCGTATAGATTGTTTTCGGGTTTGTTTTCCGGGTTTGTTCTGTTTTTTGCTCCCGGGCGGAGTTTGGAATCCATCCAACAAGAGGCGACTTAACCCTCCGCAGTCAGGGGGGAACTTGACGAGTGTATACGTTGTGCAACAAGTTTACTAAACGCGAGACGTTGGTGCGAATTATTCACTGCACCATTCATATAGTTAGAATCCCAGAATTCCCTTCAACCATGGGGGGCGTCTAGATCTAATCTTTCCGAAACGCCAGTCCTTCCTCCTTTCCCGTGCTGTCTCGGCAACGCCAGCTCCCGTTGCCCCTTTTGAATGTCCGTCACAAACCTGCCAAACCCTGAATCCAATGACGGCTCTCGGCAATCATGACTCTGCCGACGCCTGCTCGGTCACCTTGGCAGGACCACCTTCAGCCTCGGGCACTGCGGCTGACTGAGGAGGCCGGTCGTTCGGCACGGGCTCCTTGAAGTGCAGCATAAGATTCTGCGGCAGAAATGTGTGCCACTCGACGAGCACGAGCCGCGCCTGCTTGATGAACTTGATGCCAATGTTGAGCTCGCAGACGCAGAGCTGCAGCTTGAAACCTGGCTCCAGTCTCGATAGGATAGCGTCGTCCAGGAAGAAGGTATCCTCCTCCTCGGACAGCTCAAAGTGCTCTCCACGATCGAAGCCGTCTTCAATCAGGCACGGCTTTGCGACCATCCAACCGATGGGCGCAAATGGTCCTCCTTTGTCGAGCGCGACGCTGCGGACGAGGTTACGTGAGTCGGTGCTTGGACGATGGACAGAAACGACTTCCATGCCGCATTCCTCCTCGCTAACGACCTTGATCGACTTGTTGGCTAAGCCCTCTATCGCTGCTTCATACTGCTTCTGGCTCCCTGCTGTTGATAACGCAACCTTGACGACGTTCTCGGGTGCAAAGTTCGCGGGCCTTTGAAACTCTCCCTCCCCGAAGAAGTAGTAATCTTCGCAGAACAGCTCCGACAACGCCAGGTTGAACTCTCCCGGGAAGAGCAGGAGCGCCTGGTGCGTCTGAGGCAGCTCGACCTTGGCTCTCTGACAGACAGCCAGTGCCTCTTTGACGTTGGCGTCATACTCGGGGCAGACATCGTGTTGGAGAACATATGTGAAGAAGTTCTCTAACACGCCGACGGCCTTTCCCATCTGGGGGTAGTCCCAGGCGGTCATCACTGGGAGGTTCTCAGATAGGAATCCCGCGGCGACGCCAGCAAAGTCGACGTCCCAGTCAGCCCGGTCGCTATCGTTGTAGAAGCGGCTACCGCCGCCGGACACGTGGACGGTGTCGACGGCAGTCGCGGCCCGCCTCTCCTCCGGGGTCATGTCCTGAAAGTCAGCATCGACGTGGCCACTAAACATGCGCGGGGTGGAGTCGATGCCGCCGAGGAAGAGGTATTTGTTGAAGATCTGGTCCGAGGTGCCCAGTCGGCGGCGGGCGCGGTAGCGCTGGATGCACGCCTCGATGCGCCTTGCGCGCGCGGGTTAGTTGGGATGGCCGGACCACAGAAAAAAAAAAACGGCTTACTCAACAAAAGGAAGGTCTCTGCAGGCCCACGTTAGCACACGCCCAAGGGAGGCGAAGGCAGGATGATGATCGGCTTACGGGTGGTAGATGTTCTCACGCTCTTCTTGGGCTTCGGCAGGGGTCATGGGAGGGTCGGCGTAGAACTCTGGGAGGACGTCAGCAAGAAACAGCCGCGATCGAATGCGATCGAATGAGACGCACCCTCAAATCCAGTGCCGCAATACTTGTGTAAGGCCGTTGGACCGCGGTCGACAGTACTTTTCTTCTTTTTGCCTGCCATGTTGGGTTCCCGGACTGTGGTGGATGGGCTGAACAGAGAAACTAGCGTTCATCGGAATCCTCGAAGCTTTTACCTGCGGATCTTCAGTTGGGTCAGAATTTCGTATAGCAAACGAATGATATTCTCGTCCAAAGAGGAAGAAAAAAGAAAAAAAAAAAAGGGCCAGGTTGGCTCAGGTAAACAAGCGCCCTTGGTCCCTCTGTTTTACGATAAGTCAAGGGAAGTAGAAAGAGCCGCTTCGTCGCTGATTCCTTCCTTCCTTGCCAAAATTGTCTTCGCACTTACACGGAAAGTAGCATCAGGCAGCACTTTCCACTTCCAACGTTAATTAAGCCACTGGCTTCTCGAATACTCCTGCCCAGTCTCAAAGATGCAATACAATACAAGCTTCCGTGTTGGAAGTCAAACGCCAACCGTACACTTGACAGCGTACTGTTTCCTCTGTGAAACAAGGTACGTGTGTAAGACTGGTTGGGGCTGGTTTGTTTGTGCAGATGACGCCTCAAATCCCGATATCGCCAAATGCGCCTTCTCGCGCGGCCCAATCGCATAAAGCCATGGCATTCGTCGGAGGCCTGCCGCAGGCAATCATCGGACTATCACTCGCAGCAAATCAATTGGGACCCGAGATTCCGGATTCGCCTGGAGTTTGCGATGCAGGTTTTTGGCGATTTGGAGGCTATTGGATGGTTGTAAAACAACGACGACGGACACTTGGCAATGAAGCTGTAGACGCCTCCAGATCCAGGCTGGCCTCCTTGGAACAAAAGCCGGGGCGGAGTGACGCTGCGCATGAGATGAGGTGCACTCGTATAAGGCGTGCCGCAGGATTGGATGAGGTCTGACGAAGACCACGGGCTGCATACGGCTCAGTCGGGCGTTGTCGTGCTGGAGGGAAGCACCAGCTGACCCGATGGGTTCCGACAGGAGCATCTGGCCTGTCGGAGTGCATGGGGAGGCGCTTGATGTGGGAATTGTTTGCCGAATGACAGCGGTGAGACGGCGTCCAGAGCGGTCAACCAGACATGGCCCCAGAGAGAGCCCAGGTGATATCGCGAAGAGCAAGTGTCCGATACCACCCAGTCGACCTCGCAAGCGTGGCAATGCAACACAACGGCATGGGACGGGCTGTCGCGATGCACCTGTCCAACCAACAGTCCTGGTTCAGGTCTTGAACACGGCGAAGTACAGACGAAACGTTTTGTTCCAACGGCCATGGTCCGTCCCAACGAGCGCGGATGACCTTGACAGCGGAAAGTCTTGTGGTAACCGTCAGATCAGTTTTCCCGGAAAGACGCCATCCGAGACCCGATCGTGGCCGGCTGAGCTATTACGGAGGAGGCCTGATGCATTGCTCTACAGTGTGCGTATTACCTCGAGTCGCGGATACATGGTATGCATGGGACGACTGCGCGTGCTCAAAGCCTCGATTTGCCGTGTCGTGCAGATAAAAGAGAATGCGATCTGCGTCCCCCGCCCACACCCTGTCAGACAGAGAGGATAAAGGTCGGACTATCAGAGTGCCAGGACAGGGAAGTTGAATAAGGTGCTCGGCCGACGACGACGACAACGACGACGACGACGACTGCGGCCGCTTGGCCCCAAGGCTCAGGGAGTGTGGCTCGATTGCCGGAGACCAACGGTTCGTGTGCGTCTAGAACGCGGAGGAACGACAGGGACCAACAGCTGGACAAGGCGGACTCGGGAGACAGGCAGGGCTGGACAAGGTCTGATTGGACCAAGGGAAGAAGACAGCCGCTGGTTGGGTTGCGACCCACGACTAAGACCGGCCTACTCATCGGTCCTGGCTTTGCTGAACGGAGGGGTATTGTCGTGGCTGAGCGTGTGGTTCGCAGCATCCGCCACCCTCTTTCCAAGCTTCATTGGCCCCTGTGATTCTTACGGGAGAGAATAGCGCCCTTCGTGGCGTAGATCCCTCTCTTATTCATTATCTCCCCTGCCACTCGTGCCGCGTCTCCCACGCCTTTTTCTTTTTTTTTTCTTTTTTCTCTTCTTCTTCAGGTGTCCATCCACGTGTGGAATAGAGGAAACGTCCTTAGGCCGCTTTCAAAAGTCCAGCAGGCTTTGGGGTGGGGGGCAGTGGCGGTCGGCCTGTTTGACTCGGCGCGCTGATCCGTTACAAAGGTTCGCCTTCGCCCTCAACTGTTCTCAATGTACCTTTAGGTGTAAGGATAGCATGGGAGACACTTGCGAGCCAAAACTCGCGGTGGGGCCTACTTCTATGTACCTATACCAGCGCCAGGTACTTGCAGATGCAGATAGTCACCCTGTACACAGTCAGTTCCTACCGAAATATCCAAGTACCATGGTACCTCAAGGTGGGGTGCTAGGCGATAAAGTACGTACCGCTTATTGTACATGGCATTTTCAAATTTGCTCCCGCGCCCCCAAAGTAATTTGGCCTTATTGGCGTTCGGAAATGCTCATCGTGACTACGCCTCACTCCTTCCTCTCTGTCCTCAGTCCTGTCTCCCGTTCTGTCTGCATACTGCTGCATGCCCCTCCTCCTGTCATCTAACCTTGTCACGCCCACGTTCAATAACCCCTCTTCCTCTTCGACCGACAAGCTCTCCTAGCCAGCTCATTTTAATCCCTCCACGTCCCCTCTTCCGCTTTCCCTCTTGATTCTTCTACTAATTAGTGTACCTACCTAGTTTGGACTGTCGATCCACTGCTTCCATACTTCCCTCCCTTCCACACTTCCAAGACCCCCTTGCCAAGCCATCGGGACCACCACTTCCGCCAAGTCGACAACTGAAAACGACGCAGGCACACATACGCCCATTAGACCAAATATCGCCACGCCGCTCGCCCATCAAGCCAGATCAGATCTGATACAAAGCCAGGTTGTCGCTCTGTCTACCCCAACTTTGCACGCGCCATCCATTTTCTGGGATCTCCCCTGAGTTATGCCATTCGGTCTGCAAACACTGTAAACAGCCGCCCGTCCACGTCCTCTCTTATTCTTGTTTTTGGTCCTTTTCGTTTTCCCTCCAGCGCAGACACCATGGGCAAGAAGGAGATTCCTGACCGCGCTGACCTCGTTGACTACAACCATACCGTTGCTGGCCAGTAAGTAAACCACGCTCCGCTCCCATCCGCATCGCTTGCCAGATCCCCCCCTTTTCTCAATTCCGCCTGCGATGCGCCGCGTCACCCGCCTAATAAACACACCCAAAGGTTTCTAACACCATCTCGTCACCCCTTAGTGCAGGAACAATGTGTGATGCCGATGGCGAGCTATTCATCAAGCCCTGCACGCAGGCAGAAATCGACTTCTACAACTCGGCCATCGAGAACCACCCCGACTTCGCTGATCTGATGCCTCTGTTCATGGGCACCCTCATGCTCAACGACCCTGCCGAGCTCAGCTCCATTGAGGACGGCGTCCCGGGCCCCGTCTCGTCGGCTGCCGCCAAGGAGGAACTCACTCAGGCCGTCACCGGGCAGCCTTCCACCGCCGCCCCAGAATCGCAAACCGATAAGGACAAGTGGGTGCAGAACAAGTCCAAGAGGATCAAGACGGACCAGGCTGTTGTGCTCGAGAACTCCGGATCTGGCTTCACCTCGCCCAACTTCCTCGATGTCAAGCTGGGCGAGCGGCTCTGGGCCGACGACGCCCCCGCAGAGAAGAAGCGGAGATTCGACGAAATCACCCGCAAGACGACACATGCCCCCCTGGGTTTCCGCATCGCCGGCATGAAGGTATGGCGCGGCTCGACAATGAAATCGGAACTGGACCACGAGGGCTACAAGATCTACGACAAGGACTACGGCCGTGTCCACGTAAACACCGAAAACGTCGTCGACAACTTTCGCAAATTCATCTTTAATAAGACCGCCGGCATCGACGACGACCTGGCCCGCGCCGTCGTTCAGGCCTTCCTCCGTGATCTGCGCACCGTAGAGCGCGTCCTCGCCTCCAAAGAGAGCAGGATGTACTCAGCCAGTCTCTTGTTCGTTTTTGAGGGCGATGGCGACAGGTTGAAGGATGCCATCGCGCAGAACAACTCAGCCGTCGAAAAGGTCGGGGCCGAGCTTGATTGGGACGACAAGCCTGGTAGACCTGCCCTGAGAGTCGATAGTGGTATCGAGCTGATTGATGAAGACGTCGTCACCATCGACGCTGCCGTCAACGGGGGCGATGAAGACGATGAAGATGACGACGATGACACTCCTGCCTTGCCCAAGATTTACTCGCTCAAGCTGATTGACTTCGCTCACGCAAAATGGACGCCCGGCCAGGGTCCCGACGAGAACGCGCTCAAGGGCGTGCGGAGTCTCATCAAGATTTTCGAGGAGATGGCGCAATAGCGACGGGCTCTCACATGGGCCGCCTCGACAGGATGCGGGGAGCGTACGGGATCCCCGGGCCTCTGGTTCTGGCAGTGCGGCGACGAAGAAAAAAAACTCTACAGGGCCATGATGGTCTTGTACGAAGCACCAGACCATAAGTATCCATCAGCAGGCATCAGACGAGCACGTTTTGCTTAAAGATTACGATACCCAGATACAATGCGCGGACATGAGTTGCGGATTAGACGTCGCTCCTCAGAGGACAGACGGTGGGCTCAAAGCCATGATAATGACCATGGGATATACACTACCCCAATCGGCGTCGGGACTCTTTTTCATTCATACCAATACCATTGCATTTTTATGCTCTTGCCATTTTTCCTCGGTGATCCGCAAATAACTACAAGGACCAGCAGGGTACGTCGACATTGCCTCGTGTCAACTACATATGGGACCGACCTGCATGGGGCCAATGCAGGTCGACTGCATTCAAAGATGCGATGACACGGACGAGAACTGCTAGGTTGCGGCAGACCCCACACCGACCATGGGAATAATACTAGTACATCTGCATGCTGTGGTACCTAATGTTTTGGGAATGGGCAAGTGAACAGTCGCTCGACCAAGTCTCGGAGTTTCCCCTGGATTGCATAGGTCCTCGCAACTCATAGACCATACTCCACGAACAAGGATGGGATTAAAAGCCATACGCATGGTGAGCGTATTTCAAAAGACCGTACCCACGGCATCCAGACAATTCACGTGAAGACTCATAGAGCTTTCCACTTGTTTTATCAATAGTGGAGAATATAGCTTTATAATACCGGTATCCCCCACTCTTCGGGCTGGAGTAGAACCTTGAGTGCACTTCCGAAAGACAGTGTGAATGAGTCCGATGCCGCTTGTGACTAGTGTACAGTGACATTTTCGGTCGGGCCGTTGCCAGAGCTTGAGTGGGCCCCGTTCCGGATCGGAACCTACTTTATCCGAAGTCTACCCTGTCGGCGTTGTCATGTCTCGTCGCGAAGTGCAGCAGCCCAGAACTTTCTGAGGCCTCAGCGACCATCGCACTTTGAGGTCCTGAATCACCACCAGGACGCCCTCTGCGCACCCGCAACCATGGACGACCTCTTGAACCTCGAGCTTTTATCGCTCGTTTCAAAGGTGACGTCCGAGCTGCAGAATCATTTGGGCGTCTCCGACAAAACCCTCGCCGAGTTCATCATCGCCCAGCGGGTCGACGCCGACGACTACGATGGTTTCAAGAAGAAACTCGCCGCCATGGGCGCCGACTTCCCCCCGAGTCTGGTTGACAGCGTCGATCGCCTCGTCTTGACCATGCACCCGAAGATGAAGGGTAAGGCGCAGAAGAACGGCGACGGCATTGGCAGCAACGAGGACCGTCACCACCGGAGCGCAGCAGAGAAGGAGCAGATCTTTAGGGGCCTCGCCGTGCCGGACAAGCCGGTGGCATACGACAACATTGGAGACGGCATCGACGCCATCGACGACACCCTTGCCTTGCTCGAGGGGCTGGAGGGCAAGGCGCGAAGAGACAACCGAGACACGCGCAAGCGCAGTCGCAGTCCAGACGACGGTCGCGAGTCGCGGCGGAAACGGAGGGGCCGGTCGAAGTCGAGAGAGCGAAATAAACGAGACAAATACCGGTCGCGGTCTCGGTCGCACGACGATTACGAAAACGGGCCCTCGCTGAAACAAAGGAGCAGGCGGCGCAACTACGACGACGACGAGAACGACGTCCGTTTCAGGAGGGCACCCGAGCCCGAGGTCGACGACGCACCACAGCTGCACAAGATTTACGGCGGACACGTCACAGGCATCAAAGATTTCGGCGCCTTTGTCAACATACACGGAGTTCGCGGCAAGGTCGACGGATTGGTTCACATTTCGAGGCTGGTCGACGGCCAGCGGGTCAACCATCCCTCTGACCTGCTGACCAAAGGCCAGGAGGTCTGGGTAAAGGTTGTCAGCATCGAAGGCGGCAGGATAGGCCTGTCCATGAAAGAGGTGGACCAAGAGACCGGTCTGGACCTTCACCCAGAGGTCAGAATATCGTCCGGCGCGAACATGGAAGCGCTGGGCGGCGGCGGTGGTCGTAACGGAAACATGTTTGACGAGTCACCGATGCCGCCGCCTCAACACCAGCCTCGCCGGCAAAAGAAGCGCATGACCTCGCCCGAGAGGTGGGAGATCCGGCAGCTGATTGCATCCGGCGTTGCCAAGGCCTCTGACTACCCCGACTTGGAAGAGGACTACAACGCGACTCTGAGAGGCGACGGCGAGCTGGAGCTGGAACAGGAGGTCGACATCGAGGTCCGAGAAGAGGAGCCGCCGTTCCTGGCAGGCCAGACGAAGCAGTCATTAGAGCTGTCACCTATCCGCGTCGTCAAAGCACCAGACGGCTCAATGAACCGAGCCGCCATGTCCGGCACCTCACTCGCCAAGGAGAGGAAGGAGCTGAAGCAGCAAGAGGCAGAGGCTGCGGCGGCCGAGGACTCCAAGGTCGACCTTTCTGCTCAGTGGAACGACCCGATGGCGGACCCGGACAAGCGCAAGTTCGCCAGCGATATGCGGAATGCCAGATCGCAGATGGCGCAGAACAAGCCCGACGCCGTCCCGGAATGGAAGCGAGCGGTGGCACCCAAAGACCAGGCCTTTGGCAGGCGGACAAACATGAGCATCAAGGAACAGCGGGAGTCGTTGCCTGTGTACGCCTTCCGACAAAAGTTCCTGGACGCCGTCAGGGAACACCAAGTCATGGTGGTTATCGGAGAGACCGGCTCTGGCAAGACGACGCAGCTGACGCAGTATCTGGCCGAGGACGGCTTCGCAAACGACGGAGTCATTGGCTGCACGCAGCCCCGACGTGTGGCTGCCATGTCCGTCGCGAAGCGTGTGGCCGAGGAGGTTGGCACCCCGCTGGGTGAGGCAGTCGGCTACACGATCCGTTTCGAGGATAAGACGAGCCCGGCGACCAAGATCAAGTACATGACGGACGGCATGCTTCAGCGAGAGATTTTGGTGGACCCAGATCTGAGACGGTACTCGGTCATCATGCTCGACGAGGCGCACGAGCGTACCATTTCGACCGACGTCTTGTTCGCGTTGTTGAAGAAGACGATGAAGCGCCGTAAGGACTTGAAAGTCATCGCGACATCGGCGACCCTGGACGCCGACAAGTTCTCGTCGTACTTTGACGGGTGCCCCATCTTCACGATCCCAGGTCGAACGTTCCCCGTCGAGATCCTCTACTCGCGCGAGCCCGAGTCCGACTACCTCGACGCCGCGCTGGTCACGGTGATGCAGATCCATCTCACCGAGCCGCCCGGTGACATTCTGCTCTTTTTGACGGGGCAGGAAGAAATCGACACGTCGTGCGAGATCCTGTACGAGCGCATGAAAGCGCTCGGACCGAACGTGCCGGAGCTCATCATCCTGCCGGTGTACTCTGCACTCCCCAACGAGATGCAGAGCCGCATCTTCGACCCTGCGCCCCCTGGCTGCCGAAAGGTGGTCATCGCCACCAACATTGCCGAGACTTCCATCACCATCGACAACATCTACTTCGTCGTCGATCCCGGATTCGTCAAGCAGAACGCCTACGACCCGAAGCTGGGCATGGACTCCCTGGTCGTCACCCCCATCTCGCAAGCGCAGGCCAACCAGCGTGCCGGGCGCGCCGGGCGTACGGGGCCCGGGAAATGCTTCCGCCTCTACACGGAAGCCGCCTACCAGTCGGAAATGCTGCCGACGACGATTCCCGAGATCCAACGGCAGAACCTGTCCCACGTCATTCTCATGCTAAAGGCGATGGGCATCAACGACCTGCTGCACTTCGACTTCATGGACCCCCCTCCCATCAACACCATGCTCACGGCGCTGGAGGAGCTCTACGCGCTCAGCGCGCTGGACGACGAGGGTCTGCTGACGCGGCTGGGAAGGAAGATGGCGGATTTCCCGATGGAGCCGTCGCTGGCCAAGGTGCTCATCATGTCGGTGGACATGAAGTGCTCGGCCGAGATGCTCATCATCGTGGCCATGCTGAACCTCCCCAACGTCTTCTACCGGCCCAAGGAGAAGCAGTCGCAGGCGGACCAGAAGAAGGCCAAGTTCCACGACGCGCACGGCGACCACCTCACGCTGCTCAACGTGTACAACTCGTGGAAGCAGAGCGGGTACTCGAGCCCGTGGTGCTTCGAGAACTTCATCCAGGCGCGGTCGATGAAGCGGGCCAAGGACGTGCACGACCAGCTCGTCAAGATCATGGAGCGGTACCGGCACCCGATCGTCAGCTGCGGGCGGCACACGCAGATCGTGCGGCAGGCGCTCTGCTCGGGCTTCTTCCGCAACGCGGCGCGCAAGGACCCGCAGGAGGGCTACAAGACGCTCATCGAGGGCACGCCGGTGTACCTGCACCCGAGCTCGGCGCTGTTCGGCAAGCAGGCCGAGTGGGTCATCTACCACACGCTGGTGCTGACGACCAAGGAGTACATGCACTGCACGACGAGCATCGAGCCCAAGTGGCTGGTGGACGCGGCGCCGACCTTCTTCAAGGTGGCGCCGACGGACCGGCTGTCGAAGCGGAAGAAGGCCGAGAGGATCCAGCCGCTGCACAACAAGTACGCGGGCGAGGACGATTGGAGGCTCAGCGCCCAGAGGAAGGGCGGCCGCGGCGGAGGCGGTGGCGGGACATGGGGCTGATGCTGTCTTTCGGGGTCTCTCACGTTCAGACATTGATGGCGGGGGGGGCAAGGGTGCTTGGATTGGTGGGCGGACCAGCGACGGTTGATCCAGGTTGTTGTTATCAAAAACCAATGAAATATACCCAAGGAGATTTGACACATTCAACACACGGGGCGTGCCTCGCATAACCCCCCTTTGGCTCAAGGAAAACGCGTCGTCTGCCCCTCCCAACATAGGCCGGGTGACACTTGTATCATGCAATGCGATTCTGCCCCGGCAGTAAGGTAGGCAGGCTAGGACGGCGGTGATCGACACCCACGGCCAAGGCCTCCATCGCATCTCCACGGGGGGCGGGGGGTCTATTCTTCCTTAGCATAACTTCTCTACCTCAAGACTCGGCTTGCCAAGCCAAGCCCGCTTCGGGAGCCAAGATACCACGGGACGCTCGACTTGTTGAAAGGGGGCGGCCGGCCGGCCGGCCGGCCGACCTCCCGCCCCACGGAAAGGGAAGACAAGGAGGTATTCGATTGAGCATCGAAATGTAAGCATTGGTGACGAGACGACGTCGTCTTGGCATCGCGGCTTGGCGCTGTGTTAGCCTGCAGCCGGGAAGTGAACCCGGACGTCAAGTGTCACGCAAAAGACGACGCCGTTGTTACGTGGGCAGTAATAGTAGCTTATATATCGTGACATCAAGCCCCCCTTTCCCCACCAGCCCCCCGGGACTCGTCCGATGGGCGGATTCCTATCAGTGCCTGTCCGACAGGTTCTCGCGGGGCGCCTCAGCCCCCATGCCGGCAGTGCCGCGGGTGCACCGGCATTGTCCCTTGGCGTGCGATGCCTGTTGTGATGGCGATGGGATGTGCCATTTCCCGACTTTTTATTTTATATTTCCTTTTTTTTTTCTGTCGTTTCTTTTCCACCGTCTTTTTCTCCCGGAGGTGCGGACGGACGAGAGGGCTGGCGGAGAAACTTGTAACATAGTTTTTTCCTTGTTTTCGGAAAAAGGGTGAGCAGTGGATCGGTCGAAAGACAGCGTGCCGCCGGAGCATCCGAAACTGCCAGGGCACCCCCCCTGGGCGGTGATCAATCGAGCCCAATCATGTTTTCTTGCGGGTGGCCATGCACCCCGGCAATCAGGTTTTTAGGTATTCATGGGGGAATGTCACCCGGGATGTCCTTCCCGCTGCGAGGCGGAACTCTATCTGCCACGATGAGCAAGCCAATCCCAACGTCAACACCGTTCCTGGCGTGAGCCGGACGTGCGAGAGATGCGTGTAGAACATTTCTGGGTCTCTTTTGAAAAAAAGCCTCTTGGTGACACACGTTGAGACAAGGAGAAGACTCGCTATTGTAACATTGTTTGGCTTGGTGTTTCCGATGAGTCGATCATATGCTGGGCGAATACGCGGTAGTATGTACCGTATTATCAGCTCCACGACCCAGGGAGTTTTTGGAACGCACTATTTTTTTATTCTTCCTTTTTCAGGTTGACCGGAGGAGGTCAGACATCATATCAACATGGTTAATATACGGAGTCCTTTCCCTCGTGGAGTCATGGGTGGGAAGGTTTCGTGAGATGCGTTTTCCGAAGGCGCGGCTGGTTGGACTGAAACTCGGGCGTTTAATCCCTTTTTTTGACGGCAAAGAGCGATACTAAACAAAAACACTTGCGATGTTATCTGTCAAGCTTTATCAATAAGACGAAAATACGACAAAATCTCGAGGAGGAAAGGGAAAGGGCAAAAACATAGCTTGTTCTAAGCCAGCCCAAAGCAAAGAAACATAACACCCCGAGCGTCGGCAACGACGACGACGACGACGACGACGACGATGACGCGCCGCCACCGGAATCTGGCGCTGCACCACCTCACCGTCCTGGCCGTCCTGTCGACGACGGTCCTTCCCGGCGCGGCGGCCATCGAGGACCTCGACCCCGAAGACGTGCCGCCCGAGTGCGCACTGGCGTGCGCGCCGATCAAGCAGCTGACGGAGCGGTGCGAGGCGGCGGCGGAGCAACAGTTCGGCGCGGAGGCGGTGAACCGGCGATGGGCCACCGGGAAGCAACGGCGGGCGAGCGCTGTCGATGGCGGAAACGGCGGCCAGGACAAAGACGCGTGGCGAGGGCGGCGGCGGCCAAGGGGGGCGAGGAGGTCGCTGCAGAGGATGCTGGGTTCGCGCCTGGATCGGCGGCAGGAAGAGGACGATGGCCAGGAGGACAGCGAGGAAAGCAGCGACGACAGCGACAGCGATGACAGCGACGACGACGAGGAGGAGGAGAAGCAGGGAGAAGAAGAGGACAACCTCCCAGCGGCTGAAAACGCCGCAGAGACTGGGGGAATCGAGGAGGAGGCGGCGGCGGAGGCGAACCAGGGGCCCGCCGTCGAGGCGATGCGGGCCTGCGTCTGCGGGGAGACGGGGTTCGACGTCGCCGTCGCCGCCCTTGGATGTGCGGCTTGCGCCGCGCAGAACGCGACGGCCGAGGATGCCAACGAGGGTGAGTTGTCGCAGCCGGCCGTCGAATGTGCCGTTTGCCTCAAGGCGTGACTAACGAAAAGGGCGGGGGGCGAAATCTCCAGACATCCGACAAATCATGACCGAGTGCGGCTTCGTCACGACGGCGGACCCTCCGCTGACGATCACGACGGCGTTCCCGTCCGCTGCAGCGCCCACTCCGCCCCCGATACTGGCACCGGCCGCGTCCGGCACGGAGACGTCCCCGCCTCCGTCCCCCGCTTCGCCGACCTCGCCCTCCTTCCCTCCGGCGGCGGCGACGACGACGACGACGACGACGACGCAGCAGGGCCCCGGCCTCGAGTCCGTCACGCCCGTCACGGTGTTCGAGACGCCGTCGTTCTCGGCGCTGCCGCCCCTCGTCCTGCCCAACGACATATCGTCCACGCCGCCCGCGCTGGAGCAGGATGAGAACCAGCTGAGCGGCGCGGCGAAGGGGCTGGATGCTGCTTTCGGCGGGTGGCTGGGGCCTGGGGTCGTTTTTGCGATGGTTGTCGGGTTGATTTTGTCATGAGATGACGGGAGCGGTTGTTCTATCATTTGGAAGTGACCTCGACTGCGCTAATATCAAAATAGGGCTTGGGAACGGAAGGCATATGGAGGAGAAATGACCAAAACGGGGAGAATTCAGGAGTAGATCAATATTAATTAACTAGACATCTTCTTAGGGCAATGCAGTAAATACAATACGACTGTTGGTGTCGTAGGGTATCCAGTCTGTTGGGTTGCCGAATACTTGGGGTACTGATCCGACTATGTGTATAAATAAGGTAAAAGATGAGACTATTTGCGAACCGAAGGATGAGACGAATGATGAGGTATGTCACAGTTTTTCACATGTCTATTAAACTTGCTAATTTCCCATCAGTCGAAGAAGGTGGCCGTGTTAACGTAGCTCTCAAGCTGTAGAAGCGCAATGGGCGGGGCGGCCTCTACCTGCGTGGCATTGGTGTAGGCTCCAATTCAGCCACCCATAGTCGTTCTCTGGGCTTATAGCTTCGTGTGGTGTTTTCGGAGCTTCTGCCGGTGACGACTTTCGTCAGTGTAGAGTGATCCAAGGCGCCAGGTTCTTCAACAACCTCGGTGGCAGAGTTCAATGGAGCCGCCGCATGGAAGATGTTCGAATACGCCGCTATTTCTCGAGAGTGATATAGAAGGGGAGAGCAAGAGGGCGGCGTGCGAGAACAGCTGTTTTACTTCATGCTCTTTGGATAGCCTACCATCTATCAACCCATGTCTCGCCTCCCGAGCTCTACTACGCCGCCAACCACTGGCACAACCTTCTTTACACTCTCGGTTTCACTGACGCAGTTAGTAGCTTCCAGACCAACTAAAACAGCAAGGGTAGTGCTAGCAACAGTGTTATCATTCTCTCTATCTAGGATATTTCCAATACCGACAATGTTAACTTATGTTCTTATAATCGGAGAAAATTATACAAAATGGCGATAGCGAACCGAGAAGTTTCCACATTATGTTGCAAAATAAGTCATACTCCATCACAAATTTCCATCGTCTGCCTTTTTAACGGTATGCACAGGAGACGGTTGAATAGTTATGTATTTTTCGTGAAGCTGGGAATAGCTTCATGTGGCTACCACCAGTTGACTTGTGGCTGCCATAGATGTATATGGCTTACCTACAGATGCGGCTGGCTGGACACGGTTTTAATCGAGAACGGTTTGCTGGGTTGCGCAAATGCCAAACTATAAATACACCAATGGCAGGGAGCGTCGAGGACGGAACCAGCAACTTCACGGGACAGACAAATCGGATCCCCAGGATCGTTGGGATAATAAACAGTAAGCTCGCCGCTGTCATATACGAATTACCTGTCAGCGAATAGTTCCCTTGCCGTGCATCAAGTGCCTTCCTCTAATCCATGCTTGATCGGTTTCACCGCACACTAAGGGAGGACAGAGAGCCTCATTGTGCCATCCGTGTTAATTCAATCTAACTACCTAGGTAAAGGAGGAAGAGAGGCAAGAATTGAGAAGGAAGCTGGATGACCACTGATCGGTACATACCTCCGCCAGGAATATAACAAGCCATCTCAGTTTGTTCTTCTTTTCTCCATCCGTGTTTTTGACTTCTCACTTCCAACTGCTTCATCTTCCCTGACACTAATAATTGTGTATATGTTAGCTCACTCAAGATGCCTCGTAAAACGCCTCTTAATCCCTACTGGCTCACATGATGTCTTGAACCACCTCTAACATTGTGTTTCCAGAAACACTTCACATGCCCCGTCAACTTCTTCCAGGACAGCGACCCCGCTTGATTTTGGGCTACCTGTTTTATTGCTGTTCTATGTCCTAAAGTCTCACGGTTGTCAGCCATTGGGACAGCAGTAAGCCCACATGGAAGAGAAATGCGACGTTGAAGACGGCCGAAATCAAGGCATGAGTCGATCACTGCTGGAAATAGTAGGTTCCTGGAGCAATGCCGCGACAAGGGCCTTTACTCTCTTTAGGCGAAAGAATAAGACCCACAGGTGGTGCGACCCAGGTGCACAAGCAGCGGATGTGCTTGCTCATGGAATGGAGCCTGTATGGATCGATGGGCAGCAAATCGACTGTGAACGTCACCTTAAGGGCGTCAATGCAGGTCCAAGAGTGATCCGGCCGCATCTGTGGACTTCACCTGGGAGGAGGAGCTGAGAGCTTATTGAAATTGCGGCAGCGGGAGTTCTGCAGCAGATGCTTCGATTAGAGACAGCATCGGCATTCAGCTTGGCGCAACTGAGTTTATTAGCATCGTAGAAATCATTTTTGGTAACTAGTATTTGGTAACTAGTAAGAATATCCGGTGCGACTAACACAAACAGTCTCGTGTAGCTGAAGCCTCTTGGGACATTACCATATCTTGCATGCAGCATGTCTTTAAAATTTTGCCAAAATCCGAAGGAGAGAAAGGAAAACCCCGTTACTCATCTGACAAAGCAACGCGTCACATCCCAGAATCAATCTCTCCTCATCTGACTTCAACCTCCCCGTCGCAGGGGCGCAGTCTAATGCGACATTGCCGATGACAGACAACGCACTCAAGGCCAGCGGTTTTCCCAACCTCAAGTTCGGTCGTCCAAGGTGAACGAGATGAAAGGGCGCCGGAATTAGCACGCGGACACCAGGGGCTGGCGGCTGTTCCCCAATGCGGCTTGTTAGCCGTATGGAGTGGAGGGCGATACAAGGTAGCCGAGGCAGGGCGGAGAAGGGAATCCATCAACTAACACCAAGCGAGGGCTGTCATCCAATATTTGCCGAAAATAATATCACAGAACTATTAAATCGATTCCCGGATGGTCGGACGAGGCCACCTGAAGGCTCTGGATCTTTGGTCTAGCGTGCTTTGTGCGGGAGTTTTCACCTTGCGCATAGTTTTGTTGCGGAGAACCCTAGAATCAGGCCCACGAGGTTCAAGAACTGTGCCGCTTCTTCATTTTTCTTTCTCTTTCTCGTATACTCCACTGAGCCTACTCTCCGCTAATACATGTTGGAATACGAAGGCCGCTGCTGCGCCGTAAAGATGCAGAGCTCTTAGCCAGTCTTGTTTAGAGGCTGGTATTCGGGCCGTAAGCTCCGGGCCCTTGAGCGGAGGCTCGAGAGTCCCGTGAGACGTTTATCTATTCATGTATCTTCTTTCTCTCTTGCGCATTTGTGTCTAGTGGGGGCTTTACGGTGATGAAGCAAACGGCCCGTATGACAACATATGACTGGGTGCTATTGATGTCTATTTGAGACATGACCGTTTTCCCTTCTTTCTTTCTTTCTTTCTTTCTTCCTTTCTTCCTTTCTTCCTTTCTTCCTTTCTTCCTTTCTTTTTGTCCGCAAGCGATAGGCGGAAGCGGCTCAACGGACTTGGAGGTCTCGAGAATCAATGCAACGGCGCAGAAGACCCGCCGCCAATCATGCCTCGAAGAGTGGCAGCGCCATCAAGATCTAGGCGGCTTCAGGATCCCTGTTAGCGCCGGCGAATTGCTTGGACGGGAAGAAAAGGGGGGACGGCGGAGACCAAGAAAGCGCCCACCATCTCATCCATCCAGAACCAGGCAGAACACCACCGCCAGGCCAGATCCGGAGCTGATCAAGGATCTGTTCCTGGATACCGAACCAGAGCAGTATTAAAGTGGACTTACATGTCCCTCTAGACACACCATTGGCCCTCGACGACCACCCTTCGCGCGGACTGGTGTCTGCGGCGCCAGCCAACCGCCGTTCCGTTCCTGGCGTCCAAGTTCGGGTGGTGCGTCCATTGGTGTGTTTGAGAAGTCGGGGACTCCTGCGGATCTGCAGTGAGCTGTCCATTGCTCCCACCGAAAACATGCGTTTGCTCTCACCTAGCGCAGTGCACACGCAGGCACAGAGGCAGAGGCGAAAGGGTGGAACCGCGAGTCCCTTACGTATGTGGCCATACGGCGCAGCGGTAAAAACAAGGCACAGCCAACCATTGAGAACGAACCGGGCAAGACTTTGTCATAGAGGCTGTGTTCTGGTCTCCTCCCCGTTGGGCCCCGCTGAACGAACCAAACGTCTGGAGCCGGCTCACAAGGCCTGGCCGGAATCCAAAGATCCAATGGGAACGAGATTGCTGGAGAGCCAGGCAGCTGGTCGAACCCCTGAGGGATTTCACCCCGTGGCCCTGCAGATGAATCTAATGGCCAGGAGAGCCTCTGGGTCGAGCGTCTTGCCCGGTTCGATATAAGAAGTGACGGACGACCCCCGTTGAACAAGTGTACTGCATGTAAAGGGCCCTCCTTTCCATCTCGCTTTTCAAGATACCATCCTTCGGTTTCTTAGTCGCTCTTTTGTTAAGAACAAGCCTCCGAGGCCCTCTTCTATTCACACTCTCTAGTTTAGAAGATCTCATACAGTCGTTATTTGGAAGTGTTTTGTGTTTCTGGTTTTGTCCTTTCCCCGTTTCTGTTACCACACATAGCCTAGTATGGCGCCTTCGATTATCTCCACGCTCTCTTCCGTCCTGCTGCTCACCTCCTCGGTATCCGCCACAAAGTCCTACCAGGTCGTCGACAGCTATGACTCCACCAACTTCCTCGACAAGTTTGGTTTCTTCACGGTAAGTGTCTGGTTGTGAAGCATACACGTACTGGACGTAACTGACAGCATCTTTATAGAGTGACCACTCGACCGGAAACTACAACGATGTCGATCCCACCGGCGGTTACGTTAGCTACAAGTCCGCTGCCGAGGCCCAGAGCATGGGTCTCATGAAAATGATCGGCCAGGACTTGTACCTCGGCATGGACTCCAAATCTGTCATTGATCCCAACGGTATCGGGCGGAGCAGTGTCAGAATCGAGAGCAAGACCAAGTACAAGCAGGGTCTCTTTGTCGCCAGCTTCTCTCACCTCCCCAAGCCCGTTTGCGGTGCTTGGCCTGCATTGTGAGTTATCCATTGTGTTAGTCTCATCGTCGGAATATTCCTGATGGCTGACTGAATCTAGCTGGACCGTCGGTAGCCCCTGGCCTTCAGGGGGCGAAATCGATATTTACGAGACCTGGAACGAAGATAATGTCAACAAGGTGGTCTTACACACTGATGAAAAGATTGGCGAGTGTCGAGTCGACGGCAAGAACATGACGGGAACTGTCAGCAAGCCCAACTGCGCCAACTTCGCTGCGGGCCAGGCTGACAACGAAGGTTGCGCCGGTCTGGATCCCGCGGCCCCCTTCGGATCTCCCGAGGGCGGTGTCTACGCCATGGAGTGGACCGATGACGCCGTCCGCGTCTGGGGCTTCACCCACGGCAACGTCCCCGCCGACTTGAGCAAGCCTGAGACCTTTGGCACCCCCAGCTTCTCCACCAGCACCTGCGCCGCCGACAAGCTCTTCGGCGAGGCCTCTCTCATAATCAATTTGGACCTGTGCGGCGTATCTGGCAACTCGGGCATATGGGATGCCCCTGGAGGCTGCGCGGCCAAGACAGGAGGCGCCACTTGCAAGGAATGGGTTGCCAAGAACCCTGCCGCCTTCGCCGACGTCTACTTCCAGCTCCAGTCCATCAAGATCTACAGCCTCAAGGAAAACGAGGCTGTCACTTCTGTGACCAGCCAGGTCGCTTCCACCGTTGCGTCTACCTCTGTTGCGGAGACCGCTGTTAGCTCTGTTCTGTCTTCCGGTATCGCCTCCGAGAAGCCCGCCGAGACCGCTTCCGGTGCCGTTCCCACTGCTTCCGTCATCGCTTCCGAGAAGCCGGCCGAGACCGCTTCCGGCGCCGTTCCCACTTCTGCCCCTACTTCAGTCATCGCTTCCGAGCAGCCTGCTGAGACCCCTGCCGAGAGCCTGACAACTCGCTTGGCTACGTCCACTGTCTACGAAACCAGCATCAAGACCATCACGTCTTGCAAACCCGAAGTTACCAACTGCCCCGCCAGGCACACCCCCGTCGTCGTCACCGAGACCGTCGCCGTTTCCACAACCGTCTGCCCGGTCTTCGATATCTCGACCAAGTTGACCGTGTCCAAGACCGAGGTGGTCACCGTTACGTCTTGCGCCGGTGCTGGTACCGCCGACTGCGCCGCGAAGACCTCTACCATCACCACGCACGAGGTCATCCCCACCACGACTGCGATTCCCGTCGAGAGCTACGTCCCGCCCAAGCCCACCGGCGGCAAGCCCGTCGGCGGCGTCACTACCGAGCTCATCCCCGCGCCCACGACTGAGGGGCAGAAGCCGGCTCCCGCCACCACGGATATGCCCACCGTCCTGACGACCTACAAGACCAACATCATTACTGTCACGTCATGTGCGCCAGAGGTTGTCAACTGCCCGGCCAGACTTTCCACCGTCGTGACCAGCCAGGTCATTTCCACCACGATCCCAGTCCCTGTCCCAGGCGTCCCTGCTACGCCCACCGATGCTCCTCACAACCCTCCCGTTCCCGGCAGCGGCAAGCCCGCCACCACCCCCGGCGTTCCCGGCGTCGAGAACCCTACCGCTCCCGGCTCCGGCTCCGACTCCGGCAAGCCCTCCGCTCCTGTCGTCGGTGTTCCTCCCGTTGTTGCGCCTTCCGTGGGTGTTCCTACTGCTGGTGTCCCCCCCGCTGGACTCCCTACCGCTGGCGTGCCCCCGTCCCTCCCCACAACTCTAGTTGTCGCGCCTTCGTCGCCTTTCAACGGCACGCTTACCAGCGCCCGAACCCCTGTCGGGACCGGCTCTTCGTCTCCTTGCATCGGCGCCGCGTGCCCAGCCACTACAACCGGCCCCGTCCTCGCCGGCGCTGGCAAGCTCGGCACCGGATCGGTGCTGTTGGCCGCCGCGCTGGCAATCTTCGTCATGTAGGAGTGTGGTTGAAACAGGATGGAAGAGTTTCGTTTCTTTGTCAGAGGTTTTCTTTGTATTATACATGGTCCATCGCAGAGCGTCTATACCCTTCGGTCACTAGCATACATAGGAAGGGTCGAAAAAGCGTCCCAAATAAATTGTTTAAACTTGCGCTCTCGTTTCGCTCGTAGTATATCTTGGGTTGACCTCGTATATCGCCCTTTCTCGGTGCTCCGGGTGGGATTAGCGCGGATGTTTGATCAGCGGGAGTATCGAGATAATAATAGACGAGTCAAGAGTCCTAGACAGCCAAGACTGCAGCGTCATCTGCAAGTCCAAGTTTGTTGTCGAGAGTAGAGTCATTCCAGATATCGACCAGGACCCTGAAGAGTTAAACGCACTCGAACTATGGGTGGTTCGTAGTTATCCAACCCAGTGATCTGGATATTTTAGTATATTTACAGGGTTCTGGGGGCTTTCTCATAGTTCATAACGAGTCCCCACATCTTTATATAGTGCAGGAACTTGGGAATATAAAGCAGCAATATCACTAACATACTTAATCCTGACAATATTTGTGTTTAAGGCAATTAGGATTGAGTAGTAGTTACATGACCAAGTAATTAAAAGCGCAATGACCGAGAAGTTCGTGCTCTTGCAGTGGTAATCTACCTGAAGGAGTTACAGAGGATGGTTCCGTAGTTACGTTTCTGGCGGATATTAATGACGGGCTTTCTCATGCTATCTCCTCCTCCGGCGAAGTTGTCGGTTAGGAGGATGGTCAGACGTTGGTGCAAGCATCAACCTAGTCAGGTCTCTGGCCTTGGGAGTCACCGCTGGTCGTTTTGTCCTCCGATGACGAGATGAAGATTGATTATAAGTAGCTGATACACAAACAGCCTTATGAATCAGCGTGGCGGTGGAATCCGCAAACTGAAAGGCACATGCAAAGGCTCATATGACAAGATGACCCCGGGATCATTGGAAAAATAACATCATTATAGTGAGTGTTTGTTTTTTGTAGTAAATGCTACATTTCTTCGAGACTTGTCGTGATTGCCTACTCATTGCAACTCGCCGGCAACTTACAGTAACACGCTACCGCAGGTTCGTTGAATTCTTACACAAGAAGCACGTCTGTTCACATCGTCCATAGCAGAAAGCCTCGGGGCTTCGGCACCAACATGTGTTGAATGGGATGCTCTGCTCGCCAGTCCATCGGTTCCATACTCGCCTTGGCCACGGGGTAAGTTGCCCTCAGAATACCTGTTGCTGTTGTGAGAGAAGCTCTGTGCAGAATCATGGGTATAATTTTGATTGGCTGAATCGTTGGAGTCATGCTTAGCACTACCGAAGGCCGAAGAAAGGATCCCCTGGGCGTATCCGGTGGCATTGGAGGCCTTGTCTGTGGCTTGCGAAGACAGGTCAGCCGCAGTCTGCTTGCCGCTCTGAGCGGCGTTTGAGACTTTAGCTCCGGCGCTCCCTGTGTTGTCGGCGACGGCTCCAGACAAGTCAGAAGCAGTACCTTGGGCTGTTGAAGACAGGTTGGCGGCAGTCTGTTTTCCATTTTGGGCGGTGTTCGAGACAGCTTGGCCGGCGTTCCTAGCAGTATCGGCAGCGGATCCAGAAAGGTCAGCAGCGGTGCTCTTAGCTTTCGAAGTCATGTCGGTGGCGGTTTGCTTTCCGTTTTGAGTGGCATTTGAAAGGCCCGTTCCAGCGTTTCTGGCTTTCTCGGCAGCAGCTCCGGACATGTCCGAGGCAGTGCTTACAGCACGCGATGTAAGGTCGGCGGCTGCTTGCTTTCCGCTCTGCGCCGTGTTTGACACTGTGTTTCCTGCGTCATACGCGGCCTGTTGCGCCTTGGACGAAAGCTCGGAGGCTTTGGCCTGGCCGTCCTTGGCGAGGTCTTGGGCGCGAGCACCAGCCTCTTGTGCCGCCTTGCGGCCCCGAGGCGAGTTGATCAAAGGGGCGATGAAGATAGAGGTCAAGGCCATAACGGCTAGCCAGAATGGGGCGACGACCTTGGGGAGTCCGTATAGCACAACTACACCGATAAACGCCTAAATATTAGTTAGTCAAACTTATGTGATCATTCCCAAGCATCATCACGTCGAAGCCACATACGCCGAAAGCCTTCTCAAGGTCTTCTCCATAGAGAATTTTCTGCGCTTGGATCACGCCAGACTGAATGAGATCATGAATGTCCCTCAAAGAAGCGTTAAGCTTAGCCTCATTTACAGTGTAATACTCCTTGGGGCGGAGGCGTGTCGACAAGGAATCGGAGCCGAATGATCGGCTAGCAAACTCCGTAACAGAAACCACTCCAAGAGTAGTCATTGCGGCCTTGAGCGCCCATTGTGTAAGCGGCAGGTAGTGCGCTCCGAACAAGATGCTCAGAGCACCAAGATATGTGCCCAGCGTACGAGCCGGGTCTTCCCACTACGAGGAGTGTCAGCAGTCTTATTAAACGTCAGCTGAAGCGAGACACTTACGCTGATGTATTGGTAGAGACTGTCTTGATTGGCTAAAACACCATAGATGTTAGTACAATCATATATGACCTGCCTATATAAGTACCCACCAAGAACCTGCTTCAGCGGGCCATCCTGTTGTGTCGGATGCGATCTTTCATGAAGCGCACGTTGGATAACTACACGAAGGTATTTGTTGTCAGTGTACAGAAAAGACGTATTCGACATGGTAATCGTCGCCGAACTCACTCTGTGCCGTGTCTTCGCTGCTGTGCTCACCGCCTTCGTTATGCAGAATGACAACGGTGGGTTCACCCATGATTATGGATTGGTTACTCGATATGGGTGGGATGCTGTCGGTGCGGTTGTTGGAGTTGGCTACGCGTACGTATTGGATTGAGAAAGCTATCAGTTTGATGTCTAGGATTTGAGAAGGTATACCACATGAGAACTCGACTAATCGGCCACAGCCTCTTTTTGTTCTCCGAGCCACAAGCTGGCATACGCCAATCTCTCATCCTGCTCCCTTCAAGGGCGTTTTCCATTGCATCATATTGACACGCGTCGATATTGTTGGGGGCCTAAATTTCGTGACGTAGCTTGGTGGTCATTCTCATGCTTAGCTCCCACCGTGTGATGATGACGAGGCGGCTGAATGTCGCACGCGAGCACACACGAGCACTGAATACGCATTTGGATTCCTCTTGGGGGTTTTTGTCCATATGCGTTTCATGTCAGATTGCAAGTGTCTCAGTGCCGGCGCTAGGGCGGCGGCAAGACGTCTGCACGTCATCCAGAGTCGAGGGTATTCCGCCCGTAACAGCCGTAGACTTGCTCTGCGTTCAATCATAATCTTCAAAAACTAAAAGATTCTCTCGTAACACAGCATCGTGTCATGGAACGCTTTATCACAGGGCGACTTGCTACTACCGGTATGATCATGTACCTGTGCGGCCTTAAGAGGGTAGCAGTTAACAGGCAGACACATTGCAGGTCTGCCCACAGGCCCCTGAAGTACTGCACTGCAACTAACATTAATTATATTAAAATAATAGATATATTTAGATATTCTGATTAGTTAATCCAGTTAATATAGGTCCACTATATCCTCTGCGTTTTTTCAGGGTTAACTAGACTACCTACCTATATATAACAACAGCAAGTTAATAACCTATTACTACTAACCTATTACTACTAACCTATTACTACTAACCTATTATTAACTACATTATTTATTACTAATTAACCTTTTACCTTATTATTATTATTTTCTTTATATTACTATAGTATTAGATATCCCTTTGTTAACTACTAGTAAGGCTAATATAATTAATATATTAGATAATAAAATTATAACCCTCTAAGTGCCTTTACTGCCTAACTATAAGGATAATATAGTTAACTTTAACCTAGAGGACTTTTAGAAGAAGCTTAATAGTAAGAATATTTTTTTTACTAGCTTACCTACTTATTTAACTATTTACTTTATTAGGACTTACCTTATATATCCCTAAGACCTAGGCTAGCCTTATTATTATACTTAATAACCTTACTGCCTACTATAAGTAATACTTTTACTTTACTAAGCCTATAGAGGTAGGCGCTACTAAATTTAAATAAATATAGGCTTTTATTAGTAATTTTTTTAATTTAACTAAAGCTTAAGGCTATACCTCTAGTAGTACTACTACTACCTACTATTACTACCTACTTTAGTTAACTAAAGCTAATAAGCCTTAAGGCAGTAAGGCTATAATAACCTATAACTACACTATATAGGTAAGCACTAGTTACCTTATATATACTAAAGTTATTAAGTAATAGATAAGTAACTTTACTATAATAGTAGTTATTTTATAAGTTAGCCTAGGCCTTTATAACTATTTACTTAAATACCTTAATTAAATTTACCTACTATAAGTATTAAA